CCGCCCGTCCCTGAGGGCCGCTGGACTGGGGGGGATCGGGAAGTGAGGGAGGGACGCCCCGTTCCTGTGGGGCTGCCCTGCAGATCCCCTTTCCTTCCCCTGCCCTGGAGCAGCCGAGCACAGGGTCCAGGCCAGGATCCCAAGGACCCCGTGTGGCTCAGGCCCGAGACCAGGCTGAGGGGCGCTGGGGGGGCGTGAGCGGGCAGGGGGGTGCAGGAAGCTCTGGAACCACAACTGGGGTGGAAAAAGAGGAGCAGGGTGTCTTTAAGTGCCTAACCCTCCCCCAGATCCCATCTCAGCCCATCCCGGTCACAGCATGGGCAATGTGCCGGAGCCGCAGGCCCCCCCCTGCCACGGCCATCTGTGGGGTGGGAAATGCCTCAAGAGGGGCTCCGAGCCCCCAGCACCCCCAGCCCCATCCCCGCTGCCCCCAGGGATGAGTTTCCATGCGGTCTGGGGTCCGGCCGACCCCTGGCTCCGCGTGCAGGCTCCCCATCCCAGCCAGCCCTCCTGGGGCACGGAGCCGGGGGTCCCCATCCCTCCCAGTGCCACCCCCCCGGTGTCCCCGCACCCCTTACCCTAGCGCAGAGCGGGGCGAGCAGGCAGGCGAGGAGGAGCGGGGGGCCCATGGCGGAGCGGGGCACAGCCCGGCCGCCGGCCCCGAGCTAAAATAGCGGCGGGACTGGCTGAGTGACAGCACATGTGCTGCGGGCACCGGACCCCCCCGCGGGCAGCTGGCCCCGCCGCCCCCGGCCCGCAGCCCGCACCCCTGCCCTGCCCGGCCCGGCGGGGGCCCGGCGAGGGAGGTGCGGGGGCCTGGAGGGATGCGGGGGGCGCGGGGGGGTCCCCGCTGGCCGGGCCGGGGTGCGCATCCCGGGCAGGGCGGGCGGAACGCGGCAGCTGCCGCCGGGCGCGCTCCGGGGATGCCGCGACGGGGCGGGCGGGAGGGGGGAGAGCCGGGCCCGCCGCCCCCCGGCTGCTCCGGCGCCGGGACAGGGACCGGCACCGGCACAGGGACTGCGACAGGGACAGGCTCCGACACCGACAGTGGGACAGGGGCCTGGACCTGGACCGGGACCGGGACCAGGACCAGGACAGGGAGAGGGACCGGGACCGGCCCTTCTCGCCCCCTCGGCCGCGCCTCCCGTCGGGGCGAGCCCGCCCGTCTATCCCCGGCCGTTCCCGGTGCCGGTGCCATCTGTGCTGGCGTCGGGGCCCGTCCCAGTGCGGAGTCGGGAGAGGGACCGGCAGCGTCCCGTGTCTCCCGGGCGCCGCGGGTTCCCACCGGGAGCGGGCGGGGGCCGCTCCGGGAGTCCCGACAAGGCTCTCGGCCCCTCCTGCCGGTCCCGCACTGCCCCCCGACCCCCGGTCCCGGTGCTTTCTCCGGCCCCCGCTGCCAATCCCAGTGCTGCCCTCGACCCCCGCTGCCGGTCCCAGGGCTGCCCTCGACCCCCACTGCCGGTGCTTCCCCCGGTCCCCGGTGCCGGTCCCGGTGCTTCCTCCGGCCCCACTGCCGCTCCCGGTGTCTCCCCCGACCCCCGGTGCCTGTCCCGGCGCCGCCGCCGTGCCGTGGCACCAGGTGGCAGCATCGTCCCGGCCACCGGCCCCAGCCCCGGCCGTCCTCGCCGCCCGCGGTGCCGCACCGGGAGCGTTCCCCGCCCGTCCGCTCGGGGTCCCGGGGGTCCCGGTGCAGCAGGGATGGAGACCCACGACCTCCCGGGCAGGGCAAAGGGGTCGAGGAGTTCTTGCCCTCCGGCAAACCGAGTCCCGGGCTTGGCGAGGAAGTGAGAATATGTCGGTGACACTGGTGGCACCACCTCGACCCTGCTCGGTAGCCGCGGGACCCCCGCCCAGCTTTGTCCCTTCCTTGGGAATAAACGCCCTGGGTGCCCTCGGTGCGGGTCACGGCCACGGGGATGGGGAACAAGGCTTGGGAAAAGGGACACAGGAGGAGGGCTGCAGGGTGCGTCCCGTCCGCACCCAGGAGCCGAGCGGTGGTGGCGGGGCTGTCGCTGTCCCCAAGGACGTGTCGTGAGCCGCGGGCTCGGGTGACCCGCGGCGCGGGCAGCGGCGCTCACTTGCCCGTCTGTCTGTCCGGTCCCATTTGTCCTCCCCGCCGCCCTGTCACCCCGCATCAGTGTCACGGCGAGGAGCCGGCCCGGCGGCGCTGGCCGGGGGTCCTGGGGCTGCCCCTGCCGTGCCGTGCCGTGCCGTGCCGTGGCAGCGGGGCGGCCGAGCAGATGCTCGCTGCCACCGGCACCACGAGCGGGGCTGGCAGACGTGACAGGTTCTGACAAGGCGCCAGCCCCGCTCGTGGGGACGGGGCTGCCGGTGGCACGGCTGCAGCACGGCAGGGACCCCCGGCCCCTGCTGTCCCTGCACTGACACCCCCTGCCCTGCAGACCGGGGCTCCCGGGATTTGGGGTCCCGCAAGTTCAGGACCAGCCCAGGAGTAGGACTCCCCGCGCTGCTCTGGGTGCTGGGTCCCCCGATTTTGGAGGGTTCCCCTCCCACTGACACCCCGTGCCCTGCCCAGCAGTGCCAGTGTCGCGGGTGCTGGGAGCAGTCGTACCCCGCTGTGTGTGTTGGGACAATCACGTCTCCAGTGGGGTGCAGCTGGACCTGCCACGACCCCAGTGTGGCACCAGCCGTGTCCCTCACGTGTGGTGCCCTGGGACCAGCTGTGACCCCAGTGCAGCGCCCGGGGGGGTCAGGGCAGTGCCCAGCAGGGCAGAGCGAGCAGCTGGGAGTGCAGAGGTGCCACACGCCGGCGCAGCCCCATAAAGCCACCGGAGCTTGGATTTTATATGGCAATAAAAGATAATGTCGGCTATAAAGTGCTAGAGCAGGTCCTGGCGTGCCGAGCTGGGGGGGCACAGAGGGGTGGGCAGCCCCCAGCTCCCCGGGGATGCCCCAGCAGGGCAATCCCTCCTCGGGGTGAGGGGGTCCCCAGCTGGGGGACACCCCAGCGCTGTCACGGGCTGAGGTTGTGGTCAATGCATTAAAGCTGCTGCTGTGGGTGGTTGTTGTTGTTGTTTTAATGGTTTCACTGGGTGATGCTGGGCCGGGCCTGGCAGGCCCTAATGAAGGAGATTGATGGCTTAATCGCCTGCAGCCATTACGGGGTAATTGAATGGTTGTGTACATATGATCCCATCGTCAATGCCGATGTGGCTGCAAGAGAAGTGCCTGGAGCTGGGGGGACACACAGAGCCCCCCTGCACCCTGAGGGATGCAGCGTGGGGGGAGCAGAGCCCCCGGCCTCGGGACCCCCATCCATCACCACGGTCCTGGCCGTGCTGGTGCTCCTGGAGGGCTCCAGGTTCATCCAGTGGCACCAGGTCCCCCCATCTCCATCCAGCTCGGCTCCCACACAGGCCACTGTGACCAGGTGCTTTAATGACGCTTTTAATTAACAAGCCCCACCTACAGGAATGAACAGCAGTGTGGGAGTGGAGCTGGGAGCATGAGGGTCCAGTACAGATGGCAGCCCCAAACTGGGGTCACCCCTGACCCCCCTCCCTGCGGGAATCCCCGAGGAGCAAACCCAGCAGAGCCCCAGGCCGGTCCCTGCGCCGAGGTGTGAGTCAAACTACTCATTTTGTGTGTGACAGCCAGGTGTTTTACAGTATTTGCTACCTGTGATCATCCATCAAGACAATCGATAGCGTTCCTGCGGAGCTTTATTAATGATCTTGTCACCGGGCTGGTGCGGGGTGCCCGGGCTTGTCGAGAATGATAGATCATTAAGAGCTTTTGCTGCTATTTATTCTCCAGTGACCTTGTCTCTCTCCATTGTTGCTTGCTTAAGAGTTATGAATGCGAGACATGATAATTTGATATTGATCTATTTGGTAAGTTAAGAAATTTACTGCATCGTTGATGTTTTAACAAAGGATCGGCTCGGGCCCTCCCTGGTGCTGGGCTGCACACGTGTGCGTGTCCCTGTGCCCGCCAGGTGGGACAGTGAGAGCTGCCTCGGGAGCTCTGCGTGCCCCCCGTGTCCTCACCTCAAGTCCTTTTGAGCCTGAAGTACAGAAATGCAGGAGATGCCACTGTGGGCAGGGTGTAGGCATGGACAGAGCGGGGCTGTGGCCAGACCCCTGTGCAGGTGGGCTGGAGAAAGCCTGTCCCCATCCACATCCCCTTTTTTCAGCCCCTCCCTGCCTGCTCTGCCCAGCACCATGTGCCTGCCATGGTTCCCTCCATGTCCTCCCAGATTTTTGGGGCTCTAGTGACCCTAACAAAGGAATCCCTGTAATTACTGGTGCTCCTTGTTCCTCCTGCCCTCCCTGGTGCTTCCAGAGCCCCATCAGCTGCTGGGAAAGCTGGAGCTGCCTCAGCACTCAGGACCAGAGCAGATGGACGCGCTGGTTGGGGGCTGCTGTCCCCCTCTGGCATCACTGACCCCCTGGGGCTGGCAGCTCACGTGTGGAGTCAAACAGGACAAACTTCCATGAGAAAGGTGGGACTGATTGATCAACAGTGCCCTGGGATCACTTGGTGGTGGCAGATAATACAGTCAGTATTTATGTGTGATTTTGAATTTATTCTTTATTTCTGCTGGGAAATCATTCCCTGTGAGGATGGAGAGGTCCTGGCACAGGTGCCCAGAGCAGCTGTGGCTACCCATCTCTGGCAGCATCCAAGGCCAGGTTGGATGGGGCTTGGAGCACCCTGGGCTAGTGGAAGGTGTCCCTGCCCACAGCAGGGTGTGCCACTGGATGGACTTTAAGGTCCTTTCCAATCCAAACCATTCTGTGATTCTGTGATTCCTGCAAAGGGCTCCCCACAAGGACACCCTAACTCTGCAGCTCTGGCTCAGCTCAGCCAGGAGGGACAAATCCACTGGATGGACTTTTAAGGTCCTTTCCAATCCAAACCGTTCTATGATTCTGTGATTCCTGCACAGGGCTCCCCACAAGGACACCCTAACTCTGCAGCTCTGGCTCAGCTCAGCCAGGAGGGACAAATCCTACTTTTATTGGGCATTATGCAAAGGGCTCCCCACAAGGACACCCTAACTCTGCAGCTCTGGCTCAGCTCAGCCAGGAGGGACAAATCCTACTTTTATTGGGCATTATTCAAGGACGAGGCTGCAGTGAGCGCAGAGCTGCCAGGGATGATCCCTTGGCTCCTCCTCAGGGGCAGAACGGCCGTGGATCAGGGCCAAGCCCCCCCAGGGGGCACTAGGCTGGGTAAAAACGCTTCAGAAGCTCCTTCTTGTTGACTTTGCCCATCTGGTTGCGCGGGATCTCCTCCACCACGATCAGCTCCGTCGGGATGGCATAGGGAGCCATGGTGTCCCTGCAACACCACACTGAGCTGTCACAGCTGGGCAGGACCGGCTGAGCCTTCCCGGGAGCACCCACGGCCCAACCAGCCCCACCTGGGACCCCCTCCCACACCCCAGGAGCCCATTTAAGCTCAGCCCCCCGGAGATGTGCTGGGATGTTTGCTCCTGCAGGGAGCAGTGACTGTCCCCAGGGCAGGGACAGCACTCAGCGGTGCTGGGACCCCTGTGCCAGCCCCCGAGGGGCCGCAGGTGAGTGGCCTCCCGGGGGTGTGTGTGTGACTGGTGGGCGATGGCAGCCCCGGGCTCCATCCCGTGCGCTCCGCGGGGCTCTCCTGCCTTCTGCCGCCCGTGTGTCACCGAGCCGGGGCCGTGCCCGGCTCCGGCAGCGCCTGGCACCGACTCTAATGCGAGATGCCAAGTCTGCCGAGCCCCCCGAGCCCCGGCCGGCCTCCTCCCCCCGCCGCCACCAGCAGCCGGCCATATGGAGCAGCCAGCTCGGGATGGCGCCTGTCGCCGGGAAGCACCGGGGAAGGCGAAAGCCGCAAAATGAATCACTCTGAAGAGGGACATGTGTCTCCTGCCAGGGAGGGCGAGAACAGGAGCCCAGTGAGCCTAAGTGACATGAAAAATAAAGGGGAGAGACAGGGCGAGAGGGAGAGGCGGGCGGGGGCGCAGCCGGACCCTGCGGGAGCTGCGTCCAAGGACACGAGAGCCACGTCCCTGTCACACAGCTGGGGACAGCGACGGGAGAGACGTGCAGGGAACACTCTGGGAGGGGGGCAGGCAGGGGAGTACGGGGGGGGCTGGGCAGAGCCCTCTGCCTGGCACCAGGGACCCCCAGAACAGCCTGGGGGAGGAAGGGATCTCCTGGCTGGGTCACCAATGTCCCCAGCAGGAGATTCAGGGATGAGCAGCCACCTCGGGCACAGCGAGCATCTCTCCTGTGAGGAAGAGCTGAGAGTTTGGCTTGTTCAGCTGGGAAAAGAGGAGACTTTTTATGAGAAATTTTTATAGGGCCTGAAGTGCTTGGACAAGGGGGAATGGCTTCAAACTGCCCAAGGGCAGGGATGGATGGGATATTGGGAAGGAATTCTTTCCTGGGAGTGTGAAGAGGCCCTGGCACAGGTGCCCAGAGCAGCTGTGGCTGCCCCTGGATCCCTGGCAGTGCCCAAGGCCAGGCTGGACAGGGCTTGGGGCACCTGGGACAGTGGGAGGTGTCCCTGCCATGGCAGGGGGGGCACTGGATGAGCTTTAAGATCCCTTCCCACCTAAACCATTCCATGGCTCTGTGATCCTACCCGTGTCCCCGCTGAGGACACTGCTGGCTTTGAGCCTGCTCTCCCTGTGTCCCCTCCCTGGGGTTTTACCTGGCCCAGTCCTTGAGGTCCCTGACGGAGAGCATCTCCCCCCGGCGCAGCCTCACCACGGCGCTGACCCGCTGGCCCCACACCGCGTCCGGGGGCCCGATCACCGCCACGTCTGCAGGGACAGCAGCCACCCCTCAGCCCCCCGAGCGGCTCCTGGGGCCCAGCTGGGCACAGCAGGGCTCAGGTGTGAGGAGGGAAAAGCCACGGGATGTCAGCACGGGGTAACACCGTGGAGTTGTGTGCTGACTCAAGGACAGAGAAAAGGCAGGAAGCTCCGTGGTTTGAGAAGCTGGAGTCAAGGGGGAGGAAGATGATGTACAGAGTGGTGTGCAGCTGGGGGCACCGCTTCTGACCCCTTGCACAGGGTCATGCACGAGGGCAAGGCAGATTTAATTGCAGCCTCATTCCCAAAATCAGACAGGAGCTGCTGCTGACTCAGCTCCAGCCCGGGGAGAGCAGGAACTGTGGGGTTTAAACATCCCCTTGTGGGAGGGAGCTGCAGGCACCTGCTGAGGCAGGGCTGTCCCCAGAGCAGTGTCCCCACGCCCTGTCCCCTCTGGGCAGGGAGCAGGGGCCAGCACAGACCTGTGATGTGGGGGTGTGCCAGGAGCTGACGCTCCACCTCCAGCGCGCTGACTTTGAACCCCCCGTTCTTGATGATGTCCACGGAGGTGCGGCCCTTGATCCAGTACACTCCATCCTTGTATGCTGCTGTGTCTCCTGGAAAACAAACAGCTCCATCAGAGGCTGCTCCCCTGACCCCCCTCTGCCTCTCCTGGCACGTGGATGTGGCGCTCTGCTGGCGCTGCAAGGGGGAATGGCTCCCACTGCTGCAAGGCAGGGTGACATGGATATTGGGAGGAAATCCTGCCCTGGGAGGGTGCTGAGGCCCTGGCACAGGGTGCCCAGAGCAGCTGTGGCTGCCCCTGGATCCCTGGCAGTGCCCAAGGCCAGGTTGGACAGGGCTGGGAGCAGCCTGGCATAGTGGAAGGGGGAATGAGATGAGCTTTAAGGTCCTTCCAAGCAAAACCATTCTGTGATTCCACAAAAGAAAAAAAAAAGAAAGGTGGGGAATGACATTGGGAAAATGAGCCTGTCCTGAGCAAGATGTTTGGTCCAACCTGTCCTTCCCACAGGTGTGATCCATGTCAGCCCAGCCCAGGCAGCACAGGATGTGCCAGCAGTGATGGTTTTCACACCCCAATTCCAGCTCACCTCTGGCACCGCAGTGCAGCAAAGGCCCAGAGAATTTGCTGTCAGGGCAAGGAAACATCAGAATCAGTCCTGAAAATCCAGGCTGCTCCCCACAAGAGCTGTGTCCCTGCTCAGCTGGCACCTGCCAAAATCCTGAGCAGCTCAGCTCAGCCAGGGAATGATTAATTGTTCCTGTATTTGCTTGCCCCTTGGCACTCTGTGGATGCTGAAGGCTGTCTGGAATATTCTGAAGTTGGGGAAAGTTGGAAACTGGGGCTCTCTGGGTGTTTGGCTGCTTGGAGTGGGGAGGAAGCCGTGGCTGCTGTGGTGAAGTGCCTTCTGCACCCCAACCCTGTGGTGTGTGACTGACACACGCTGGGACAGGGGACATTAATTAAACGGTGGCACTGGGAGAGCCAGGAGCAGGAGCTGCTTATTCACACAGAGAAGATGGGGAGAGGAGAGGGAATTCAGCCCTGGTTCAGTGGCACACAGTTCCCATGTCATTCTTTGGGATGTCAGCACAGGAAACCAGCCATTTGCTCTCCCTCTGCCCCGATGGGGTGAATGATCCCTGCCAGTTCTGCTCCCCACAAACGCCAGCGCTGCTTCCCACACGGATCCCTCCGTTCCACTGGCAGCACGGCACAGGGAGGGGACATGTCACGTTATTGTTGTGACTGCTGTGAGCTCCTGGGACCAGCTCTGTAATTCCCCCCGTCCCTTCCTTTCCATCTCCTCTCCAGCACCAGGCCTGGCTGTCACTTGCCACGCTGACAGCCCGCAGTGCTCCCGGGGATGCCATCCACCGAGGACAGCCCCGTTACCCTCTGCCCTGCACCATCTGCTTCCAGCCCAGCACATCAGGCAGCCTGTGCAGTGGCACATCCAGCATTCCCTGCTTCCCAAGCCAGTGGGGAATTCCCAGATCCATTAAAAGGATGCTGAATTTGCTCAACGACTGTCCCAAGCAGTGCTGAGCGTCACTTCCAAAGTGGTGCTGCCCTGAGAGCCACAGCAAGGACTGTGCCTGTCCTCCCGGGGTCACAGGTGAGTCCTTGCCCCATGAGCCCACCAGTGCCTGTCCTCCTGGGGTCACAGGTGAGTCCTTGCCCCATGAGCCCACCAGCCCTCGTGGGCAGCTGCCAGTGCTGTGCCCATCCATCCCAGCTGCTCCATCCAGCGGGATGCAGCTCAGAACCACAACCAGCATTCCCCGTGCTCAGCCAGCTGCACCAGAAAGGGAATTTTGGCTGCTGTCTCTGACACCCCATGTCCTCTGCCCACCTGGGCCATGGCACCCAGCTCCTGTCACCACACAAAGCCGTGGCAGCAGCACCTCGGGCACGTGGCCGACGCCGGGGCCGTGGGATTGTTGCCTCCCTGACAGCAGCCGTCACTGCTACCTTTGGATTTGTTTCAAGATGCTCAGTGGGCATCTGTTCTGTGAAATGTTAAAGGCTCTGCTGAGCTGCATATTGAGCAGGCTCTGCGCCGGCGGGGGCTGCCCTTTGCTGGAGTTACAGGCGGTTGTAGATATATTTATCCAGTTAAAAACATGGAATTAGGGAAAGGTTTGGGTTGGAAGGACCTTAAAACTCATCTTGTTCCAGCCCTGTCGTGGGCAGGGACACCTTCCACTGGCCCAGACTGCTCCAAGCCCTGCCCAGCCTGGCCTGGGACACTTCCAGGGATCCAGGGGCAGTGACAGCTGCTCTGGATAACCTGCTCCCAGCCCTCACCGCCCTCCCAGCGGGATGCAGAAGGACACATGGGCAAAGAGACCAGCATTTCCCAACTCAAACTGTGGAGACTTCTGCCATGAGGTTCCTCATGTTGCAAAATCCTCACTGCAAACACAAAAGGGCCCTTGGGACTCTGCTGTAGTTTGAGCACCTCCTTCACTGAGTGCTGGGACCTCGTGGCTGCTGGAGCTGCTTCCCAGGATGTGGAGAACAAGAGCCCCTTTGCTCCTCAAGCTGAGCTGCAGGATCAAATCTTCACCTGTGTCAACACCCTCACCCACAGGGCAGTTTGTTCCTGGCAAACACAGCACAATTCCCACATCAAAGGTACAACCAACTATTGACCCAGGGAACGCTTTGGCTCGAGAAATGAAACACTGAGTGGCTTAGAGAGCTCTAAGACAGCTGAAGTATGCACAAAAAGTGACTTTTTAGGTAAATCAGGTGACTTCAGCCTGGTGTAGATAGAGGGTCAGGAACATTCTAGGACCTGCTGGACACACACATAGTGTTGGTCTCACACTGGGGCTCTGTGAGTCCAGGATTTCAACCCTGCCCACAGGTGATGAGGAGAGGTCAGCATCCTGGAGGAGCCCACCCCAGGCACACCATCCCTGCTCTGGGGGGACAGATGTCACTCGGGAGCCCGGGAGGCTGTTTGGTAACAGGTGTCACCAGCTTGGTGGCAGTGACAGCGCGGCTGCCACGTGCGAGCCGGGAGCAGGCGGTGCCAGGCTGATCCGAAACTGTCACACGGCACTCCCGGCTCCTGGCAGCTGCTCCCCACCCCACGGACTGTGCACCCACTCCTTCGTGCTCACAGCTCCGGAGGGGACCTGGCAGGTGCTTCCCAGGACATTTCAAGTGTGTTACCAGAGCCCAGGAGAGTGAAAATTCTGTTCGGGCAGAGGAGTTGGTGTTGCCCTTTGAGTGTGGTGCAAAGAAAAGTATGCTCTTGGAAGGGGAAGATCAGTGAAATCTTTCTGTCCTGGCACAGCTGATCTGAGAACAGGGACGTTTTTGACTTGGCTGTGTCCTGGGTGTTGCTCCCATCCGAGGATGGGCACTGCCAGGTTGGAAAGCAAAGCCCCACAGCCCAGTGCCACCAGCAGAGCCTGCTCCACAGCATCATTCCCGGGGGATTTGGCTCTTTGCAGCTGTGATGTCCCCCTGTGCCTGTCACAGCTCCAGCAGACCAAGTGCTGCACAGCAGAAAATACCAAGAACCAGCAAATGTCCCTTTTGAAAGGCAAATGATTCTGCTGATGATTTCAGCCTCCTGCTCTGGAGGCAGTTAATCTCCAGCCAGGAGCTCCAGGGGCCGGAGCGGCGCCGGGGATGCTGGGGGGCTCTTCCCTGCCAGCAGCAGGATGTGCTTGGAGCACTTTCAAATATTAATTAGACCTTTTTGCTCTTAATGAATCACTCCTGATTTTTGCAAACTCTTGGCTTTCAAATGCTGCATGCAGAGCCCAGCCCAGAGAGGGGACAGAGAGCAGGAATGTCTCACAGACACTCCTCCAGGTGACACCGACCTGCAGGGACACTGAAGAGCTCCTCTGGGGACGGCCACACGTGCCACCCATGGGCAGCCAGCAGAGCTCCTTCAAGACCACACAGTGCACCTTGCTCCTTTGGGAGCCTTTATGGTTTTTTCTTCCAAACTCCAGGAGGAATTCCCTGCTGTCAGCTGCTCTCCTGCCATGAGGATCCCTCATTTCCAGAGGGAAGAGCTGGCACAGAGCACCCACCCGCCCTCCTGCATTCCTCTGGAATTGCTGCTCTCACCAAGTGAGCGTGTGAGGGGGGGAGCAGCAAGCTCCCAGCTGGAAAACCCCGGGAAGCTTGCAGGAAGGCAGTGGGAATAATCAGTCTTTGCCCTTCTCTGGTGCCTTTCAGCAGAGAATCTCCAAGCACACTGATCCAGAGGTTACTCAGGCAGAAAGGGAACAGCTGGCAGGACAGGGATGAGGATGTGGCCTCACACACCAGGAGCAGCGGGCAGGAGGTTCTGGGTCTTTGCTGTACTCTGGCATTAACTCCTACCTGCCTCCCACTTCCCTGGAATTGTTGTTGATGCTGCTGGTCCATCAGGCTGAGGCAGAGCTCACCCTCTGGCAGACACACCTTGCTGATTAGGATTATGATTTATTTTCCAGGTAGGATTGGTCCAACAGCCCAGGCAGGTGGTGAAGAGCCTGAGCCCTGATGCTGATCCTCACCTCTGGGAGAGCAGAGCCAAATCTGGGAGCTCAAACCCCCTTTGCCAGGTGAGGATTTTGCAGGAGCAAGTCTCCAACGCCAGCACCCCCAGTGGATGGGGACACACAGGGGCTCAGCCAGGGCTTGTGGTGGTCCCCCTGACTACTCAGAGGCAGCTGTGGGGCCCCACCTGGCAGGAAGGTCCTCCTCCATCCTCCTCCTTTCTGCACAGTTTTCCTGCCTGCAGATCAGCTCCAGCAGCAGAGCATGGGAATGCTCCTTCACAGGCTTTGGAATCCCCCTGCAGCCACAAGCTCCATGTGCCTGTCACATTTCTCACGTGCTTTCAAGTTTCCCTGCTCTTTCCAGGGCAGTTTAGTGTCTCACCACTCTCCTAAACCCATGGGAAGGATTTTTTTGCAGGTAACACTGACACAGTGGGGCTGGGAAGCCGCTGACTGTGGCACAGCAGTGACATTCCTGTGGTCACTCTGCCTCTCTTCCCAACCCTTTGGGCACAAGCTCCCAATCCCAGTGCAAAAAGAAATGGTTTGTTCCCATTCCCAGAGGCTCTTGTGC